ATTCCACTTAAAGGGTCCCTGCAGTGAGTGTCCTGAAAGCCTTTTGGCCCCTTGGGGTCTGTGCGCCGAGGACTGTGGAGTCAGTGGTATCCTGAGTGGTGACGCCCCATTTGGATGATTTCTGTGCTGTTGATCTCTTATCATTTGGAGATCATTACTGTTTTGATTCACTGAAGGGAGTCATTTTTTGAGGTTGGAGGCTGATTCGAGTTCTACTATGGATTACTGATGTACTGAGTTTATAATTTAAAGCATTCCATTCACAAATGTCTGGTGAGTGCGGTGTGTGGAAATAACACAACGGGTGTGAACACTGGTCATAGTTCTTGTTTTTTGGGAGAGGACTGCATCCTGCCCAATATATTGAATTTGACTTACTTTGGAGTGGGACTATCATATTTCTGCACCGATTGAGTTCTTTTGGCAGTTGATTTATATTATGTATATTTAAAAATTGTTTTGTGCTGTTTTTTCCTTTTTTCAAATTTGCGAGTATTGTCTGAGGCTTGCCAAAAAGGAACAAAGCCCCATTGATCTTTGTGAATAAGGTGGTGCAGGAAAGAGTTGATCCTGGTGGAGAGGATTTTAATGTCAACATTCTACAGGGAGATGAGTTTAAAATTATGGGGGTCTTGAGAATCTTTCCCGTGTTTTGGGAGCATCACTATTTGGGCAGCTGTGGAGGACGGTGCAGGTCCAAGTGAGAACTTAAATGGTTGAAAAAGTTATTCAAGTGTGGAGCAAAGGTGTAATATAGCACCAAGAAAGTATCAGGTCCAGGAGTCTTTTGTGTTTTAAGTGTTTTGATTGTTGGGAGGACCTCTGTGACAGTAATATCAGCCTCCATTTTGTCTGACATAGAATGAGATAGTCCAGGGAGATGAATGTCACAGAAAAAAATCATCTGCTGTTTGTATGTGAAAAGGCTGTGGGGATTGGTATAACGTGGACAGGTCAGAAGTGAAGGCGTCTATGATTTTGGAGGTATTAGCCGTAGTTACTTTATTGGGTAAGGGTAGCTTGATCGGTTTGGAATCTTGGGTGTGGGTTTGCTAAGATTGAACCTGGCTTATTAGTGCAGGCATAATATTTATGTCGGGACTATCTAAGCTGTTTTTCAGCCCTATCCTCAAGAAGAGGATTTAGTTCCACCCTAATGGCGTCTCGTTGTTTGTGTAAGAAAACAGAATGAGACTCCTTAAATTGAGATTCCAGCTGTGCGAGCCGAGATGACAAATTTGCCACCCGGGACTCCCTCTGCCTCTTCTTGCGGGATGGTAATTGTATAAGTTTCCCTTGAGGTGTGACTTTATGAGCCTCCCACAAACCTGTGGGTGATGAAGCTGAAACTTTATTGTCAATAAAGTAGTTGGAGATGGAGTCCTGAATGGCTCTCACTAGCTCCTTAAATGATAAAAATGAGTCGTTGAGATGCCAAGAATAGTGTAGAGGGGTAGAGGCCAGCAAGTTACAGGTGACTTGTAACGGCGAGTGATCAGACCAGGGTGTAGACAAAGTCCTAACATTAAGGACGTATTTGATGAAAGATTGAGTAATGAAAAAATGGTCTATTCGAGTCTGGCAATTGTGGGGTGCCGAGTAATAAGTGTAATCCTGTCCTCTAGGAATAAACTCCCTCCAGGCATCCACCAGGCATCAGTGGAGACCCCGGAGTAGCCCATGGAAGGGGATCGGTCTGTCTGTTCAATACCATGTTACTGTCCCCCATCATGATCAGGGTGCCCTTGTTATGCGAGGAGATTACCCGCAGTAGATGAGAATAAAATCGAGACTGATGAGCATTGGGAGCATAGTAGTTGACTGTAGTCTTTTCAACATTTAGGATTGTCCCCTGTAGTATTAAGCACCAATCTGTGGGATCTGCAATCTCGAAAGAGTATATGAAAGGAGAACTTTTATGGAACGCCACCAGGACTCCCCTCCGTTTTTCCTCAACGGTCGCCTGGAACACCTGGGGGTAGTTTTTGTGGAAATATTTGGGGGAGGATGAGGTGGAAAATCTGGTTTCCTGTAATATGGGCGTGATGTGAGGCAAAATGGTTGAAGGCACACTTATGTTTCCAGGGAGAGTTAAAGCCCTGCACATTATGAGATACCACGACAAACGTGGAAGTAGCCATCATGGTGGATAGGGTAGCGTGAAGATGCAGTAGAGGTCCAACTCAATCTGGGTGTTGTAGGCACAGGCTGTTTGATGTTGAAAAAAAATAGAAAGAAAAAAGAGAGCAAGAGAGAAGATGCAGTAAGAGAACGAGGAGAAGGCTCCACCGCAGGGATTTCAAAGAATAAATTGCCGAAGCAATCAGTGGCGGTGATTGTGAAGGTCGCGGCGTCAGACCCCCAGCCCTTTTTACCAACTCGTGACCGAAGGACTAGCCAATCTAAAACTGTGCTGTCACATGCGTAACAATGCCACGCTCAGCTGCACCATGCACAAAGATTTTCCAGCTAATGGACAACAAACTATCTACCTGCAGCCTGAGAGCGATTGTTACTGGGTCAGGTTAATTACGCAATTAACACTTCCCACTGCCACCACCGCCTTTTTGTACAGAGAAGGAGGAAACTCACCAATATTAGTGATAACACTATGATGTTTGAATAATCGTCTGTATATACACTGTCACCGCAGGCAGATGTGCTCTTCAGAGACAGGGATTCTTAGTTTGCATTAAAGAGCTTTAGAAACAGTTCAACACTTTTCACATAATAAGATTTATTACTAAAAAGGTCAAAAGGGTGCAATAAACATATTTACAGACAAAGATGTAGCGAATATATATATATATATATATATATATATATATATATAAATAGCGAGAGCAATACCACAACAGAGAGATAACAGAAAGAAGTTTAGAGAGGTAGAATACTTGCCGTCAGCATTGGTTTCAAGTGTCAGAGCAAAAGGGTGCCTTTTCTCCCAAAGTTGGTTCCTGATGTTAAAAAGGGAGAATTCTTCAACTTACTTCTCCAGGCCTGACAGCTTATTTTGTAGTTCCCCAGCAGGGGGTGTCTCTGAAGCCAAGGGCCAATTGCCTCATTTGGGGAGGGGGGTCTAGCTAGAACCAAAATCCCTCCCAAGTTATACCAGGGTCAATAACCTTCCCTAGGTACATGTAGCATCCTATCCACTGGTAGGATATTCTGCAGAATGATATTCTGAACGTCCAGACACCAGTTATGACATATCTGCTTGGGATGCTTAAGGAGATATCGCTTTCTGCTCTCAGGTAGACTTAATCTAGGGGTGTAAGATATCAGGCGACTCGCATTAAAATGACCAGTCTGAATATATGTTTTGCTTTATGGTATGTATTACCTACGAGAAATTATGAAATTGTATGAAAAAGTGTTTTGAAATGGGATATAAGTTTTACTGCTATCCTGGAATGCTTTTGAAGTCCAGTGACTGCCGGGTTTATGGCTTTACGATCATCTCCAAGCAAGAGTCTCACAGACATATTGGACCCAGGCTAATTGGGGTTTATAACCATGAATCTATCCCGCTGTGCCTGATGTCTGTGATCTCAGCATACATACAGCCCACATTCCTGAGGGAGGGGGATTGGAGGGAGAGACAATGATACAAGATGGAGGATCTGTAGCAAGATGGATAACCGCGTCCATCTCTGTACGTACAATTGCTACAGTGATCATATGCACTGCCATAATAGGGAGTTGACCGGGCGCACGTTGTAATATATGACCTGAAAACACTTTAGATAAAAGTAACAATGCTATTGCCTGACCTTAGTGAAGGGAAGGGAGGGAAGAGAAAAAAAAGGGGGGGTGGTAAGTGAGAGAGAGAGAGAGAGAAGGTCATAAGTAGCAGGACTCAGCTGTATGCATGTTTATGGGCAGATATGACCGATACCAAAGAGAAGAAAAAAAAAAGTGGGGGGGGGGCATAGTATGATAACTCGTAGGTTAAGGGGCCAGAGTCCAAGACCATAGTCATAAACTTGCGTTGAACAGGGAAATTAAAAGCGCATTGAATATGCAGTCCATATAGTCTTAATTCAGTGGATATGGAATCCAATGGTGGAGAAGGGGATAAACAGTCTGAATGCCCGGGCAAGCTGCGGTAGAGTGAAGCAAACTCTAATGTGGAGAAACAAGAAGAAACACAGCGCCTCTGAGTGTAGACTGTATATCAAATTTAATAGTTAAAAGGTAAGTAGGCAACTCACATATTTATAGTGACAAACAGCAGCATCACCTGCCGCTCTTCTCCCTCTCCAGCGCTCCCCACTGTCCTGCCTGTACACATCTTTATTGCGTTTAACCACCTGGTGATGAGGCGGTCTGGACATCCTTCCTATATGGGTCTGTTTGTCTCTAAAAATTTGTGAACTGCCTACTTACCTACTTACCTACTAGGCCATCCGAGGGCCCATCAGCGGTAAGTTTGTGAAGTATGAAAGTAGTGGACTAGCCTAAGGAGTAACAGAGCAATGGCAAAGTGGAATGATGGTAGAGAATCAATCTTCGTTTGGGACCTCAGGTCAAGGTTGACCTGGTCTGCCTAGGTGTCGTCTACGAGGCAGAAGTTCCCAAAGTGGAGTAAGACGAGGAGACTTGCAGGAGGATGATTGGGATGCCTGTGAGCCAGCGGATGTTGGAAGCATGAGCTGCAGCTTAGTAAGAACTTTTTGAGTCTCTTCTGGTGTGGTGAAGGCATAGGGATGGCCTTGGAAGGAGAACGTTAGTTTAACTGCCTCTCGCCCGCCATATAGTAACATGACGGACGCAAGGTGGTTCTCTCGTTCTGGGAGGACGTCATATGACGTCCTCCCAATCTAACCGCGCATGCGCGGCTCCCGGAATGTGCGGCAATCGGCGGTGCGCTGTGTCCCTCGGACACAGCAGATGACGATCAACGGAAAGAGCCGAAGATGTCGGCTCGGTCATGTGATCAGCTGTGTCCAATCACAGCTGATCACATGTAAACAGGGAAATGCCGGTTATCGGCATTTTTCTCCCCATGAGCTGTCACGCTGACAGCTCGTGAGGAGAGCCGGTAATCGCCATTCCTTGGAGGGGACATGTACACAGATCATCAGAGCAGCGATGATCAGTGTGCCCTGATGATCTGTGTAGCCTCAGCAGTGCCCCCTGTCAGTGTCCATCAGTGCCAGCTCTCAGTACTCATACATCCCACCTGCCAGTGCCCATCAGTGCCACATTTCAGTGCCCATCAGTGCCACATCAATGCCACATATCGGGTCCCATCTGAGCTGCCTTTCAGTGTCACCCATCAGTGCCACCTATCAATGCCAGTCAGTGCTGCCAATCAGTGCCACCTATCAGTGCCAGCCAGTGCCGCCTATCACTGTGCATCAGTGCCGCCTAACAGTGCCAGCCAGTGCCGCCTATCAATGCCAGTCAGTGCCTATCAGTGTGCATCAGTGCCGCCTATCAGTGCCCATCAGTGCTGCCTATCAGTGCCGCCTAACAGTGCCAGTCAGTGCCACCTATCAGTGCCGCCTATCAGTGCCAGTAAGTGCAGCCTCATTAGCGCACATCAGTGAAGGAGAAAAATCACTTATTTACAAAATTTTATACAAAAACTAAGAAAAAACTTTTGTTTTCAAAATTTTCAGTGGTTTTTGGTTTGTTTAAGAAAAAATAAAAAACCCAGAGTTGATTAAATACCACCAAAATAAAGCTCTATCTGTCACAAAATAATTATAAAAATGTCATATGGGTACAGTGTTGCATGACCGCGCAATTGTCATTCAAAGTGCAACAGTGTTGAAAGCTGGAAATTGGCCTGGGCAGGAAGGGGGTATAAGTGGCCTGTAGGCTAGTGGTTAAATGGAAAGTTCCAGCGAAATTTGATGCAGTGGTTTTGTAGCGTTTGCACAAAGGGTTTCAACTCTTTGCATCTCAAGAGTGTTTGTGGAGCAAGATCTCAAAATATTTGATATTTGTGAGATTGGAAAGTCAATTTCTTCTTGGACCAGGCCGTTTGCATGACAGCCTCCTTGGTTTTAGAGAAAGTGGGTTTGACTATGATGTCACGAGGGGGACCGTCCTGTCTTTTAGGCCCCTATGGATCTGCTCGAATTCCAGTATTTCAATTGGAGTGCTGGGAATGAGCTCCTGTAATAAGGCGGTAACTGTGGAGTTTAGGTCTTCTATGGATTTAGGTAGGCCTCTAATACTGAAATTGCCCCTCCTGCTATGGTTCTCCAGGTTCTTGAGTTTCTGGAGGGCGGAAGCAAGGTCTAATTTGATAGTGTCAATATCTTGTTTGTGATTGTTGATCATCAGGATTGCATTGTCCATTTTGTGTTCAAAGTCATTGATACGGGATCCTATGTCCCTTATTTCATGAGTGATCTTAGTAGTGAGTTGTTCCGTAGCAGTGTTCAGTTCCTTTTGGAGAAGTTTAAACTTTTCAAGGAGAGCTAAATCTCAAACTGTTACCATGGTGGGATCAGCTGTGCGGCAGTGAGACTGTCATTGGAGGAATCGTCCAGTTAGGACACAAGCTCTTGGGACGAGAGAGGATGTTCAGGTGAGGCCTGCGGGGAGGCCATTTTGGAGAGAGGCCATTTAGCAGTGGTAGTTGAAGTCTTGGAACAACCCGCTGTGGGTTTGGTTGATTTGGCCAGAGTGTTAGCGGAATTTTTCCTCGTGGTCGCAGAGAGAACCAGGGGTGCCCGGTAGAGGGACCTTTCAGGGGCAGATGTGGTCATTAAGACGAGTGACTCTGGGGGGTGTCAAAACTTGCAATACAGAACAGGAGGCAGCAGATTGAACAATATTAGGAGAGACACTAGAGATGAAGTTAGTGCCAGGGTCCAGCTGGGTGGGGTCAGGCTTTGGAGGTGCTGAATGGACTAGGGTCCATGGGTTCCACAAACCTCTGTGGATCAAGTGGTGAAGATTATCTGGGTAAGGCAGTTCGACCATTAGGGCTCGTAGGCAGCAAACAGCAAGTAGTAACCAACTTGAAGGCTGGGGTAAGCTCAGGTTGTGATGATAGTGTGGGGGGCTCAAGATAGGGGAGACAAGCAATACGCTTGACCCGTGGGGAAGGGGTGCCTCTGTGGGTATTGGGCATTCTTCTTTGCCCGCCTGTGCAGGGAGCCTTTAGCTGTAAGGCAACAGGCTGCTGCAGGGTCAGGGTCCCAGCAAGGTTGCCATTAGTGCCATCCCTGAGGGAGCAGTGCATCCACCAGCTGTGGCGGTCTTGTGTGTAGGTCTGTGGCGGCCTGAGAATCTGGGGCCTAGCGCTGGGGAGCAAGCCGAGGCCGGGACCGCATGGGTAGATCAGCCATGTATGTGGAGGAGCTGGCCGGAGCTCGGCTGTGGGGCTGGCAGTGGGTATTGACAGGCCAAATGGGAATGTGGGTGGTGGGGTGGCAGTGGGCCACGAGTACTCACATGTATCTTGGGCAGCAGCCGCCGACGCTATCTTCCTCCAAGTGCAGAGTGGTGACTCTGATGATAGAGATCCGGTACCCGGCGATGTGTGCCCTCCAAGCTTTCCAGGTTGGTCCTCGGGACTCTCAGGTGGCGGGGGATGTCAGGTTCAGGATTGGAGAGTGAGCATAATATATGGTATAATATACAAAAAGGTGCAGCGCTAAAACACAAATGAATAAATGTATATATACACGTACATAAAATCATACAAAGATATAAAGTGACACTGTGCACTCATATATATGCCACTAGATTTGTGGCTGATATAACGTGAGGAAAATTGCTATATCCAAGAATAAGTCCAACGTGAAGGTGTGAGCAAGATCTCAACCGATCTGTTGATTTCCAAACGACACAGACTGTTCACATGGTGAAACAATTAGGATACAGACTACGCACTCACCAGATGCGCAACCTTTGTGCACTTTTATATAATATAGAGACTTCAAATATCTCATCAGAGGTCTGGTCAGATCTCCTTCGCTATCCCACGCTTTTCACTCAGCCTTCTCATTAGGTGATGACCACTGTGAATGTAACTGGCTCCCACAGGAGGTCAGAAGAAACAGAGGAGGCCAGTAGTGCAGTATGTCTTAGGATGTTTATTCCCACTCACAAACAGATACTCATTAGGTACAAAGCAAGGAATAAATGAAGTACTGACCCGATATAAAGTTGCCGCCGGGACCCCTCGTGGTGCCGGCGGTATTAGCGTCAAACAGCTGCAGACTGACCCTGACGCGTTTCGAGCGAATGCTCTTAGTCATAGGGTTTTGGCTATGACTAAGCCCTATGACTAAGCCCTATAATAGCCAAAACCCTATGACTAAGAGCATTCGCTCGAAACGCGTCAGGTCAGGCTGCAGCTGTTTGACGCTAATACCGCCGGCACCACGAGGGGTCCCGGCGGCAACTTTATATCGGGTCAGTACTTCATTTATTCCTTGCTTTGTACCCAATGAGTATCTGTTTGTGAGTGGGAATAAACATCCTAAGACATACTGCACTACTGGCCCCCCCAATTTCTTTATACTCCCCGCTCTGTTCAGTGGTATTACACAAAGCGGCTCCGATCCTCCTCTTCTCGGATCCCCCACTGGCGATCTTAGTTTCTCTTCTCCTTCGTGTATCCCCATAACAAGCACTATCTCCTCACTACATTTGATTGACAGCAGAATGAGCCAATGTTCCCTAAATTATCTCTTATTGCCACTTCTGCAATCAGCTCTGTGTTGTTTGGAATGTGTAGGAACAGCAGAGCATTAAAAGAGAAGTATGGGTAAAAAAAACAAAAAAAAAAAAAACACAAAAAAATATATATGCACTGCTCAAAAAAATTAAAGGAACACTTTGAAAACACATCAGATCTCAGATGGGGAAAAATGTCATGCAAGATATCTATACTGATATGGACTGGGTAATGTGTTGGGAACGTAAGGAGGTCTCATCGTTTGATGAAAATGATCAACCTACAGAGGACTGAATTCAAAGACACCCTAAAAATCAAAGTGAAAAAATTATACAGCAGGCTAGTCCATTTTGCTGAAATTTCATTGCAGCAACTCAAAATGGTACTACAAGCTAGTAGGAGGAGGTGAGGAGGCAATTTAGCCTTAGGAGGTGAAGAGTGTGGACACGCTCATGGAATCTAAGCACTGTTTTGCACATTGCATGAATTTGATATCACCTGCCTTTTTTTATGGACATTTTATTTGATGATTTGAGTGGCATTTGAAGTGTGGTCACTTTATTACACTTAAAGCACTGTTTAAATTGTCCCCCTGTGTAGGGGGCTGTTATTATTTTAGACTGATTGTGTGGGCACTAATGTTAAGAGATTAATTTTGAGTGGCACTTTATATTTAAGATATATCTTATTTAATGATGCAGCATATTTTAATATTATTTATATCAAATATTGACACAATTGTATGTGAGCACAGTTCTTGTATTGCACGTAGTATTGCTTTAAGCGCGCTGCACTATTTATGATTATTGTACAAGCTAGTAGTATGGCCCCCACATGCTTGTTTGCATGACTGACAACGTTGGGGTGTGCTCCTAATGAGATGACGGATGGTGTCCTAGGGTATTTCCTCCCAGATCTGGACCAGGGCATCACTGAGCTCCTGAACAGTCTGAGGTGCAACCTGGCAGCATCAGATTGAACAAAACATCATATGTCAGAGGTGTTCTATTGGGTTTAGGTCATGAGAGTGTGAGGGGCAATTCGATGGTATCAATTTCTTCATCCTCCAGGAACTACCTGCATACTCTCACCACATGAGGCCAGGCATTGTCGTGCACCAGGAGGGACCCAGACCCACTGCACCAGCGTAGGGTCTGACAATGGGTTCAAGGATTTCATCCCGATACCTTATGGCAGTCAGGGTGCCATTGTCTAACCTGTAGAGGTCTGTGCATCCCTCCATGGATATGCCTCCCCAGACGATCACCGACCAAAACAGTCATGCTGAACGATGTTACAGGCAGCATAACATTCTCCACGGCTTCTCCAGACCCTTTTACTTCTGTCACATGTGCTCAGGGTGAACCTGCTCTCATCTGTGAAAAGCACAGGGTGCCAGTGGTGGACCTGCCAATTCTGGTGTTCAATGAAAAATGCCAATCGAGCTCTATGGCGCCAAGCAGTGAGCACAGGGCCCACTAGAGGACGTCAGGCCCTCAGGCCACCCTCATGAATTCTGTTTCTGATTGTTTGGTCAGAAACATTCACACCAGTGGCCTGCTGGAGGCCATTTTGTAGGGCTCTGGCAGTGTTCATCCTGTTCCTCCTTGCACAAACGAGCAGATACCAGTCCTACTGATGGGCTAAGGCCATGTTCAG